TAGGTTTTCGGCGACCATTATATGTGTTTACAAAATCTGGTGTTTGTTTTGAAAAAGAGTGATTTGTTGTTCCGGTTGCGTCTCATTCATAGAAACTCATTAAACTATTATCATTTATATTTTCTCTAAAATTCATTGCTTTTATGTATTAAAATACAATTGTATAGAAAACAAATGATATAATTTTTTTGTGCAGTAAATAAATTTTAAATTTTTTTCTAAGGTTTATGAATATTATTGTCAAAGCTTTGATTTCTTACCATAGATTCAAGACTTGGATTAAACAATGAGTTCACAAACAGATCTGAAATCGCTATTAGAAAGTCTAAACCATTATATGGACAACCATTTAATGGAAATGCGGGTAAGAAATGGTATATTTAATGAAGCGATTGATTTAATATAAACAACAAAATTAGTTATCTATCGGTGCTCTCGGACTGATTGGTGCGGGGATTGCATTAAGAAGACAACCATTTAATGGAAATGCGGGTAAGAAATGGTATATTTAATGAAGCGATTGATTTAATATAAACAACAAAATTAGTTATCTATCGGTGCTCTCGGACTGATTGGTGCGGGGATTGCATTAAGAAGTATAAGATTCGTGAGTCAATCAATTGCTTCTTTAGTAATCAAAAGAAATTCAATGTTTAACTGATTTAAAGGCAACCAAATTCTTCGACAACAATACAATTCCTAATTCATTCATCAAGAAAAGCATTGCATTGCGAGGAGTGGTTAAGAGTGTGTCAACTGATGGTAGCCTTAATATTGATCACTTGCCTATTATTCCAATGCCATGGCATAGAAGAGTAAATAACGGTAACTCAATTCATCATTCAAACGGCTTCTCATAACCATTTTAAATACAATTTGTTTTGTGTGCGAATGTCTTGCAGACAGACTTTTGAACATATCGTTGGCAGCCATCAAGCCGTCAATTTCGGGCACATTTTGGCTTAAATTGAATGTTGAGAACAAAATAGTTTGGTTTAAAGCCATTAATAGACTCGACGGCGACATTAAATGTCTCGTTTCCAACGAAAAGAAGGTATTGTTTAAAAAGAGTATAAATGCAGAACTGGTGGAGAGAGGACTCGCAACTGTTGGACCATTCGATCAGTCATTAAACCGAAACAAGTCTTATAGGAATTTGTATAAAAACGTGTTGACGAGTGAGAAGAAAGCTCAACGAAATAATAAAGGCGTTTGGTATACACCAACCAAATTGGATATCATTCGCAATCGTGTGGACAACACTATTATCTCAATTAAAAAGTTAAGGAATGTATTTGGATTTTAGTCATTAACTTAATACAAGTTATTTCAATACATTTCGATATTAAAAACTTTGTAAAACATAATAATAGACTTTGAATTCGTTGACAAAAATTATTGCTAATTGTATTAACGATTAAAAACAAGCGCTAAAACTATTATGCGTTATAACTGGAAGCGGAAACGTTGCCTCCCTTTCCAGTCCAGTTGGTATGAATNATAATAGACTTTGAATTCGTTGACAAAAATTATTGCTAATTGTATTAACGATTAAAAACAAGCGCTAAAACTATTATGCGTTATAACTGGAAGCGGAAACGTTGCCTCCCTTTCCAGTCCAGTTGGTGTGAATCCATTTTCCCGGATTTGTTAACAGTTCGTAAGTATGAGCGCCGAAGTAATCGCGTTGCGCTTGGATTAGATTCGCCGGCAGTGTTGCCGTACGATAACCGTCGAAGAATGCGAGGGCTGTACTGAAACACGGCGTCGGGATTCCCAGGAGGACAGCGTTCGACACGACGCGTCGCCACGAGTCCTGGCATTTGCTGATCTCTTGGCGAAAAAAGTCGTCGACCAATAGGTTAGTGAGTTTGGGATTTTTGGTGAACGCGGTCTTAATGTTGCCCAGAAATACGGACCGTATAATACAGCCTCCCCTCCACATCAACGCAATGCCGCCGTAATTGAGGTTCCATTTGAACTGTTGGGCCGCTTCTCTCAAAAGCATGAATCCCTGGGCGTAAGAGATGATCTTCGAGGCGTACAGAGCGTACTTTATATCGTCGATGAATTGTTTCCGATCGCCAGTGAACTTGATTTGTGGACCTTTCAGTACTTTACTGGCGCTCACTCTCTCCGTCTTCAGCGACGACAGGCATCGGGCGAACACTGATTCGCCAATTAGTGTGACCGGAACGCCATAATCCAGCGCAGAGATGGCCGTCCATTTTCCCGTCCCTTTCTAATAGTGTGTTCATTATTGTTATCTATTTATTCACTCTCTCGTCATATGTCGTGCAATACCTGTCCGGCAGTGTCTGAGATCTTAGAGACCAATGCTTTCCCATCGGTGTCCTTGTATTTCAAGATATCGCGTGTGATTTCGATGAGGAATGAATCCAATTCTGTTTTATTCCATTCGGTGAATATGTCTGCCATCTCGTCGTGATTCAAACCGAGCACATCCTTCAACAGGTGATAGGCCTCGCATATCAATTGCATGTCTCCGTATTCGATGCCGTTGTGAACCATCTTAACGAAATGGCCGGCGCCGTCCTCTCCCACCCAATCACAACACGGCTCGCCGTCTGCTTTCGCCGCAATCTTCTGGAAAATTGGCTTAATATGAGGCCTAAGAAGACAGACATTTAATACATTCAATCAGTTTGATTACTATTCATACAAACCAAGCTTCGGGGTGTCCGCCAGGCATTATAGACGGCCCAAATCGGGCGCCCTCTTCACCGCCGCTAACACCGGAGCCGACGAACAAAAGTCCCTTCTCTTTCAATTCTTTACAGCGCCGTTGAGTGTCCGTGTATTCAGAGTTTCCGCCATCGATAATGATGTCTCCCTTTTCCAAATGCGGAATCAATTGCTTAATGAAGTCGTCGACAGCAGAGCCGGCCTTCACAAGAAGTATCACTCGACGCGGTTTCTTCAGTTTGTCCACCATTTCTTTGATACTGTGAGCGCCGACCACTCGCTTCCCTTTGGCCTCATTTTGCAAGAATTGATCCACTTTTTCAGTCGTCCGATTGTATGCACACACCTTAACAACCATTCAAATCAGTTTTAATATCAGTTCACTTTAAGGCATTGCGTGAACTAAACCACTCATCGATATCATATTTATGTATTTAACAAAATGCTAATTTCCGATAAAATTATAGCCCATTCTATCACTGAAACCAACAAATCATACATTTCTAACAACATTTTCAACATAGAGCTAATTTCATTATCTAATAAATGGACAAAAAGTTTTTCTATTCCTAACTATTAGTTAAGGATTGAGTGCTATTACGGTATAAAGATTTCGTAAGTGTTTGTCTCATAGATTGCATAATACTTTATGAAGTAATATATTTGCAAATGTTGAGTGGTTTGTCTTTACGATCAATTAAAAAGTTAAATTTAAAATATAATATGAATAATACAGTGAATCCATTGTCAGCCATATTAAGGATGAGGTTCTGTCCCATGACAGCCAAACCAATGAGAGCTATGTCTGCTTCAGGCCTTCAAAAATACATTCAAACATATATTTAACTATAAAATGTTTTGTCGAAAAAAAGTTATTATTTCCTAACAAAATGTTAACTCAATTATGAAATTAGTCAACGCTTTGAGGAAATTGTTTCAAAGATTTTTTTCGTTTTAATGCATTTTCTCTCTAACTTTTCAAATGTATTGAAAATAATAAATTGCATTTCAATATAATGTTAATAGCAATACATACTGTATATTAAAATAATGAATGTCATTATTCATACAATTATGTAATCACAAAATGATGCTAAATTAGGCATACAGTATAGCAAATGGCCCAATAATGACCCGGGGCTATATTCTTCTATTCAATTCTACCTTATTATGTGCTGTATATAAATAGTGTACTAAATATTCAGTTCAAATCATAATTATTGTTATTTCATATATAAGTTAACCTAATATTCAAAATCATGATAAAAGTCTACTTTATATCAATTTGAATGACATTTAAACCGCATTTTATCGTCAAATCATTTCATACTTTGTATCCATTTTTTGCGAACA